CAATAAACCTTTTTTTTTTTTTTTTTTCAGTTAATTGGCAACGTTTTCAATTTTCATTTAATATTTATATTTTATTGTATTTCAGCTTCATTTTAAATACTGAAAATGATTTTAATACTTTTAGTTAACATTAACAACACTAGTTGATGCTTTACGTGTATGTATGTATATATATATATATATATATATATATATATATACTGTATATAATTTTTATTTTAAAATATGATGATGATTTTCAAACTTCAAAATTTTGGGAGATAATTATTAATTTTTTATTATTATTATTATTTATTTTATTATTTTCTTTTTTCTATATTTTTTAGTAGTTGCAATGCCTCTGTAAAACTGCACCCTACAATTTTTGTGTCACTCTAATATTGAGGTAAAATGAATTGCAGACCATTTCTTGTTGACTTTAAACCGCTACAAATGTAGCTACAACAGATCATCTATATCAGATATACTCTAGAAAAACAGAATATAAACTTGTTCTAAGGAGAAGAAACTACTGCAACTTTAATGCATCGGTCTTTTCAAATATTGTCAGCATTCTGCAGTCTGTATTTAAATAAGAAGAACTGCATAATGCAAAACTTCCCTCGTCTTCTCCAACACATATTTCTTTGTCATTTGAGAATGGTTTTATAATGCTTTTTAAATGAAGGCCATCAAAATGTGTTCTATACAAGATGTCAAGTCTAAAACACTGACAGACTGAGTGAACTGGTTTGACGTTTGTGTTATTGATTGAAGCTGATTTCCCATTACAGGGCATCCACGCTGCCCACCGGTTTAATCTCAGACAGCAGGTGAGGTTCAGTGCTGTGTGCCTGTTAACCTGCACTGCTTCCCCGAACCAATCCGGCCCTTTCACTTCATAACCCAAAGCCCCACAATCCACCAGGACATCACCGCCCATCACAGTGTGTCCGACTGCACCGGGTGTGTGTGTATGTTTCTCTCTTCAAGAGCCCCACCATAGCCTGCACAGATCATTGGTCGTCCCTTGCGTTCATCACTGTGACGCCTGCCTGCTCATTGGCTGCCGCTTTTTTGACATACCCAGTGGTTAAAACGTCCCATTTGTGTTTCAAACAGGTTCACTGTGGGACATGACGGGACTGAGCCAGACCAGGAAGAGAACTTCTGGTCCCAAGCGCTCGAAGACCTGGAAACGTGCGGACAATCCGGGATCCTGCGAGAACTTGAGGTAACTCGGGAAGAAAAATGTCATCCGTTTGTGTTCATTCCCTTCTCCCTACATTCATCCTCTTGCTCTTTTCATTCATCAACCCCCTACACAATCTTTTTTCAGTAGCATGCTGTACCAACCTTGGTTTTGTGTAACAGCTCCTTCTTTTTCCAGGACAAGCCAGACAGGCTTCTGAATAAGAGAAACCTGGCCATTTTGGTACCCCTTTCCTTTCTTTGGGCTTCCTCTTTTGCTTGTAGTGCTGGCACCCAAGTGCTCTTCTCATGCTAAGGGCTCAGTTTCTCTTGCTGGGGGCCTGCTTGAGGAGGGGGGGGGTCACAGACAACTACTACTGGCATCCACTTCAGATCCTAGGGGTGCATTCAAAATGAATTATGACGTGTTAAAGGTGTAGTTCACCAAGATTCTGCCTTCATTTATTCACAATTATGTTGTTCCAAGCTTATTTACATTCACATTAGAGAGATAGGTATTGAGTAATTTTGTAGTCGTGTATGCAAAGATATAAAAAAAAAATTTGATTACTTAAAATTAAAATGTAAGTTAAAATATACCTAAAAACCTGGAAGTTTCAATAAATTTAAAAGATGTAATGGTAAAATCATTAAAATATTTAAATTAATTCTTAATTAATAAATAATATAATTTTAAAAAAGAAAGAACAATGAACATCTCTATAGTGAATGTAATTTAGTTACAAGTTATGCTCTTCGGTTAGAAATTGCTCTCGTGAGTGCAAATATGTAGAATGTTTTAATCCATTTTTTTTATCCAGTCACTGCAAACCAGGGTTATTTTAGTATTTATTTATATACTGTTATAGTATTTATTGATATTTTAAATTAGCTTTTATTTTTATATTTTGATTTGCATTAAAAATGTTGTTTTAGTAATTAAGTGTGCTTTCCTCTTCATCTTATTCTAGTTAATTACTAAGGTAACATTTTTCATTTTCGTTTAAGTTTTTACGATAAATTTTTCAGCATATTTATTTATTTTATTGTTTTTTAATTAATTTTTTTATTATTATTATTCCTCCAGATAACAACACTGCTGGAAACCCCTAAAAAAATCCCCTATTTTTATATTTTAGTTTTTTAATTTAAATTTTTGTTTTAGTAATTTAGTGTGCTTTCTGCTTCAACTTATATCTTATTTCAGTTAGTTACCAAGGTAACATTTTTTATTTTATATTTTTAAGATTTTTTCAGCATATTTATTTTATTTTTTTATTCCAGATAAGAACACTGCTTGAAACCCGTAACGAAACGAAAATTACATCATCGGTAATGCTTTCAGAAGCTAACTTCAACAACCTATATTTTTCTTCTGAAAAAAAAAAGAAATTAAATGCATCAGTACAAACACCTTTTTTGCAAAATAACAATAAAAAAGAAACATTTGCACTCACTCAGAGCTTGCGAAAAAAACAACATTTGAAAACTAGGTTGCCGTCATTAGACTAATGAACAAATTCTGCCTATTTTAAGGCTATCACATTGTTATCGT